CAATTTATTGAGCCAAGGAGGCAAGAATGAGGAGTTCATTTAGCAATAGTGAATGAAATTAAATGTTCTGCTGTGTTTACTTTTTGCTAACCACTTTTATTGTAGAAGGCACCTGCTGTAATACTTTAAAACCATGGTTCCCACACTTAAGCATGCATTAGAATTTTCTGGGCAGCTTGGAAAACACAGAATCTTGGGACCCGTCCCTAGAATCTCAGGTTCAGTGTGTCTAGGAAGGGGCCCCAAGGTTTAGCATTTCTCATAAATGCCCACATGCTGCTGTTGCTGCTGCTGGCCTGGGACTACATTTTGAAGACCACCGGGGGAGGGGGATATCCTAAAGTAAGCTCCAAACTCCAGGAGCTCGGGGAGCCTTCCATGTCAAGGAAAATGAGAAGGGTGGCTGGTAGCATCAAGGTTTTCCACACTGCAGGGCTTCCTCAGGGTAAAATTCCTCATTCCTCCTGAGCTAGCCTCTAGCTTTTTACCTAGATTCCGAGAACACATGAGAGGCAAGAGAGGAATCATTACAGGGCTGAGGCAGATTTAAGTTTGCTTTGTCAGCCCCCTTTCCTGCCTTTCTGCTCGGCCTCCTTGCTCTCCTCCAGGCCCTTCCTTCTGCCCCTGCCCTCGCCTGGCTCTCAGCCACTCCATCCACGTTTATTGCACTGGCACTTCTTATGCCTAATCCTCAGGATAGCACCACAAAGTAGGTGTTATTCCAATTATATGGATGAAAAGCTGAGGCCCGGAAAAGTAAAGTAATTTACCAAAAATGACAAAGCCAGTAGGTAGTGAAGCAGGATTCAAATTCAGGTGTATCTGCCTCCAAAGCTCTTTCTCATTCCTCTGTTCCACTCGCCTGGAGTCCGTGGTTGTCCACGCTGGCCGCTAGCTCGGATCATAGTGATCCTGCGCTGCCCCACCCTGGATCTAGGACATTGGAACCCCCGGGGGTGGGGAGGGGATGGCCGGGGCCCCTGGGCTGTGCTGGTTTCAAAAGCTCTCAAGGTGATTCAGCTCTGCTGTCAGGATTGAGAATCCCTGCTTTATGGGAATCTGTGTTATCCCATTAAGGGAAAAAAGCGTATATAATACTGTCCCCAGAACTCTCTAACACTGACCCAAAGGAATGGTGGAATTATCCCAATATTTGCATATTTGAGAGAGAATTCCAAATCTTACCAGCAGGAGCAGTTTTGTCTAAGATATCAAAAAGCTTCTTGAAAACATAGTTACCACAGGCTGTATTAACAGGTGGGGAGATAATCTTGAAATAGTAAATTTTTGTAACACATTAACTACAGGTAGATTTATCAGTAGAAGTAGAGCCCCAAACAGTCTGTTTAACACGGAACTAATGATGATGGTTATCCAACTTTCCGTAAATAATAGTTTCTTATTAATATAACATCTACTTTACCCACAAGGTTGTTCCTAGGGCCCAACTCAAAAAACAAACAAACGAACAAACAAAAAAACCATGTTCTGTTTGTTTGGACACACCACCCCCTGGAGAATTCAGCTCTATGCCTTGACCATGAGGTATGCCAAGTATTCTTGCTATTTCTCATATTTCCCTGCTAAGAATGAAGTAAATGACCTAAATTTTTCTTTTTAGGCTGAGCACGATTTACAAATCTAATTAAAGTAATTAAGCTGAATTATCCCTCAAGGAATAAGGGGAAAATGTAAGAGCAGAAGAAAGCTAGATGCTTAACATGAGGGTTAGAATAAGGAAAAACTGAATTCAAACCCTGGTTTGCTCCTAATTAGCTGTGTAAACTTGGGCAAGTTTAATGTCTTTGAGTTCTCATTTTTTTTGTATGAAAAGTGTGTCTGTTGACATCTACTTAAATCATTTGTTATGAAGCTTAACATACAGTATACAGCAGACAGACTACGACAGACAGCTATTAGCATGCGCTGCAAAGGACTGGGGGGCTTACATTTTTAGCTCAAACCTGGACAGCTGTACCTGCATGTTTCCCTGGAATTTCATACTAGTGCTGGGAGCTTACATTGACCCTCCTCTTCGGTGTACGATCTCAGGTGCAGCATCTCCATCACTTGACCCTATAAACAGTGATAGGCTTTGGAGTCAGTCAGCCTCAGTGCCCCCTCCCCTATTTCACCTCTCCTTCTCTGCATCACAGCAGTGTGGCCAAGTTCCCTCTCTCCTGGCTTTCTTAAACCCATTTCTTTTCCATGTTTCCACAGGAACCAACATAGTCAGGTTTCCATCTTCTTCATTTTCTGGACTTGTGACGAGGCAGCAGCTCAGAGGCACTTTCTCCTCCATCCTTCTCTATTTTTGCCTCTTGTGTCCATCCTACAAGTTTCTAACATACAAAAGTTTTTTCCTTACACATCTTTCATGGATTGTTGTTGCTCCAGAACAAAATCTAAACCCTCTGCATGGAAACTGAGGAGTCTACGTTCTTCCTTCTGTGGCTTTCAGTCTAATTCCCCATCGATCCCACATTCCTTGTCCCACCGGCAGCCAAATGGACTCAATGACTCAGTCCTACAAAACTAGTCCGCATTCTGCTTCAGCTCTTTAATGTCCCCTGTCCCCTACGCCTGGAATTTCTTTTCCTCTCCTTCACTGAGTCAAACTATTCAAGTTCTACACAGGTCAGTGTCATCACGATGACCTTAGTGCCCTCTTCCCACAGATCTCCAGTCACAACGAGCTGTTCTCTCCTCAGCACTCTCTGCCACATTGTTTCAAAATCGCTGCAGAGTGCCAACCAAGTGTGCTCATTACCTGCACATGTATTCTTCTATTTTCAATCCCAAATTTCTAAAAGTTCTTGAAGACCAAGACTAAGGGTCCAAGCCTTATTCATCACCTTTTTTTCCAGACATGGACTAGTCCAGGTATTACTGGGAATAAGGTGACCGCAGGAGATTGTGACCATAAAGAAGACTGTGATCCTGTCTGTCTTGTTCACCTTTGTAGTCTTAGTGCATAACACATTGGAAATGCTCAATAAATGTTTGTTAAATCAGTGAATGAATATATGGGAGGGAAAAAAAAGTTAAAAAAGAAACTCTATGCAATCTGGAATGGCACTTAATATTTTGTACCTGATCTTTAGTGTCATTGATAATTTTGTCCAGAAGTTCTGAGTTAAGCACCCCTTTGGATATTCTCCCTCACAGACCAGAGGGACCCTACTCAACTGTGGCAGATGGGATTCTGCTGTTCAGAGAGGAGAAGTCAGGTCTAGTCGTCTCTCATAGGAGAGCTGCCTGCCATTCAGAAGAATCTGAAGCTAAACCTTAAGAGTCCAACAAGAAGTTCAGAAGGAGCCCAGAAGACCTTGATTGAATGGATCATTTACTGCAATTTTTTATTAAGACGCTAGGTGGCAGGTGACTATGTTCTTGGGCACAAACAGGAGTAATTAGCATTACAATACTTAGCGTATGTGGGATAACTTCCTCTGTTGGCATTAAATGCCAAAAGGATTTTAATCATTTGACAGGATGATAAGAATTATGATAAGGGCTTTGGACTTGGACTATGAAGAGTAAGGTGTACTCTGAAACTTTGCTTTCAGATTCGCAAAGTAAATGTGCAACAGGGGAACGGTACAAAACTAAACTAGTGGAAAAATTAAGGTCAGCTCCAGGGTACCACCAAGAGAGATAACATCTGTATAATGAAACTAAAATTGCTATTTTCACTGCAATAACAGCTCTGTACCTTTTGGATTAATAATCTAATTTACTAAATAATTGATTGTATTTTTCTCTTTCTTTTCTCTTTTACTTAAACACCAAGGAGATTTTTTATTTTTTAAAAATTCTTTCAAATATTAACTGATTGAGGAATCTATTGTTTCCCTGATAACCTTCTGTGCAGTCCTAGAGTTGGAGAACCTTTATTTTCCGTCAAAGCCACAGAATATTAGAGAAAACTCCCCTGGCTGGTATGGCTGAGTGGATTGAGCATCAGCCTGAAATCCGAAAGGTCTCTGATTCTATCCCCATCGGGGTCGTGGCACGTGTGTGGGTTGCGGGCCAGGTTCTCACTTTGGGGCATGCAAGAGGCAATGAATCAATGTTTAAACCCACTGATGTTTCTCTTGCTCATCGATGTTTCTCTCCCTCCCTTCCCCTCTCTCTGGGGGAAAAAAAAGAATACTGGGGAAAACAATCAGCTGAAGGACACATGCAAAAGTAGATTTTTATGTATTTCCTTTCATTAAACAAAAATGAAATGTTCAAGTCACCTGCTATTAAATAAAAAATAGAACACAAAATATGCTAATAAATATATTTCCTGTCCCTTTTGTGGTCTTTAAAGGGGGATGGTAAGGAAAGTAATAGGAGGAGAATGGAAGGAGAGGCAACCAGGGATGGAGAAGGGAACGAAAGAAAGAGTAGAGAATGAGAGAGATTGAGAATGGGAGAAAGACATTGATACAGAAGGTAGCAACCAGAGAGCGAAAAGAATGGAAAGAGGCAGGGAGAAAACAAGGGAGTCACATCGCACATGAACAGCAGCAGGGAGATGGGGAGTAGGAACGCAAAGAGAAGAGAAGCAGAAGGAACAGAGAGACCAGGAGGAGGAGCAGAGAAAGGGGGTCAGTAAGTTTGAAATACTTCCATCTAGGACAGCTTAACCTCCACACGCAGAATAAAATCCCCTATCATTTGCGACTCTTCAAAATGTTTATTAATCAGGGAATCACTGTTTATTGCTTTAACTGCACTAATATTCAAGCCTTAGAAGCTTTTCTTCAAGTAAGTGGGAGTGAGCCTCTTCTCGGTTGCAAGGACCTGTGAGAGGCTCAGGTTTACTCAGAGGATTAGAATGTACAGAAGGGATATGCAGAAAAAAGGAGGAAAACATATAGTTAGGTCTTTCAGCAAAACAGGAGCTGGCAGATCTTTTAGCTGAGAACACAGTTCTAGCCACCAGGTGTCCTGTCACTACGTTAGCACAAAAAATCTCTTGTTTCCTTGGTTTTTCTCCATTTCTGCCATTTCACTTTCCATCTCTGCTTCTGCTGCTCCTCCCACTATCAATGATTTTCTCTGTCTCTGACGAGATCGGGTGCATTCAGGGTGGTATGGCCATAGATGATTTTCTCTGTCTTTGAATTCACACCTGGTAGGATGGAGAATCCACGACTGGTCAGTCATGATTCATGTAGGACACCCCTACTGGGCAGAGCTTTTGCCTGAGGCCATGTCTGTGATCGGCTGGCCTTGGGTTTGGGGTCCATCTGTGGTTCAAACAAGTCTGATCAGAGTGGAAGGACCATGCAGTTCAATGTATATATGAGAGACTATGTGTATAGCAGGTACCCAGAAAAGGAGGGAATAAAACTGAAAGGTACATACATCGGTTGGTGGGACTAATGGATTCAACCCTTGCTCATCAGGCATATCATCCTTTACTTTTGGGCATATGGCTTCAATTATACCCATCCAAACTGGTTAACTCACTATATGTACACACACCAACCCAAAGTTAATGCTTGTCACTACATCCAGAAGAAATTATATGGAACACTTCAGACTTGCTGTCTAAAGTAAATAACCTTTGAGTTTGTTTTTTTTTAAACCATGCCCAGCCCTGGCTACTGTGGCTCAGTAAATTGAATGCTGGCCTGCAAACTAAAGGGTCAATGGTTCGATTGCCCATCCGGGCACATGGCCGGGTTGCAGGCCAAGTCTCCAGTAGTGGGTGTGTGAGAGGCAAGCACACATTGATGTTTCTTTCCTTCTCTTTCTCCCTCCCACCCTCTCTGTCTAAAAATAAATAAATAAAATCATTTTTTAAACATGTCCAATGAAACAATTATGCAGAATTGTTTTGGGTAGAGGGGAAGGAGAAATGCAGGAATTGAATAAGCTCTTTGAGGGAAAAGAGAGATGCAAAAGGGAAGGCAAAAAGATTTCCCTGTGGTGAGAAAGGGAAAGAAGTTAGTGGGCAGTGGGTGTACCTGCACCCATCTCTGTGCCCTGAGTTGGTGACAATAGATTTGAGGGATGATGAAGGGGCACCTACATAGAGGGCATTTCCAGTCTTTGCAAACATTTCTGTACCTCCTATGTGTCTTGACTTGAAGTTATCAGACTTTGAGGGACCTCTGTGAGCTTAGGCAATGTAGATGTCATTGGTATCCATGATGGATAAAGGAGGAAGACCTCAGGAGGCCAGATGGAAGACAGAGGAATTCTGGATACCCTGTGAGACTCAGGTTCTTGTCAGACGTGAATAGGCAGCCAGTCTCAAGACTACCTCAGGTGAATTTCCTTATAGCTGGTGAGATGGATACTTGAGCTCATATCTCACCTGATTTATAGAAATAGATATTTTTTTAATCCCCTAAATAATTAGAGCCTGGAAATCATACTACCTGCACTGATTTGAGCACTGAGGACCACAGTGAGTTCAACGGCCTGAGGGGAAATGGGAACACTAACTGCCAGATCCTCCTTCTCTTCAACTCCCTAAATTAAGATAAATCTTGATTTAACAATGGTTTTACATTGTGCACTTGTGTAATAACTCATGTTAAAATTCTCATAAAGTCGTGGCTCAGTGATTGTTTGAATCATCTCAGTCTCAGGCTGCTGTAATGAAAATGTCACAGACTGGGTAGGTAATAAACATTAGAAATTTATTTTCCCACAGTCCTAGAAGCTAGGAGTTCAGGTGCCAGCATGGCTAGGCTCTGGCGATGGCCCTCTCCTGGGTTGCTGCAGTTGACTCCTTGTGTCCTCCCTCGGCAGACAGCAGAGAGGGGAAGCAAGCTCCCTCAGGATGCTGATAAAGGGCACTAATCCCATAATGGGGGCTCCACCCTCATAACTCCACCTAATTCTAGTTACCTCTCAAAAGCCCCACCTCCTAATGCCATTACCTCCTAATACCATCACAGGGTAGGGTTTCAACCCCTGAGTTTTGGGAGGACACAAACCTTCAGTCCATAACAGTGATCATCACTTTTTTTTCCCATAGAAAAAAAGAAGCAGGCCAGTGTTCATGGGTTTGTTCTGTGGCAGCCAGGCCCTGTGGCCCAGCTTAGAGGCTGCTGAGAACAAGAAAGAAACTAGAGTTAGGCCACTGCTTATTTTCCTGAAGAAATTAGGGCTGTAGCCCTAGAGTAAGGTCAGCTGGGGGATAAGTTTGTGTCATCCAGTGCCTGGGTAGGTGGGACATGATAGTCCTTCTTGGTCCTGGCCATGGCAGAGGCTGGGAACAGGGAGCTGGCTGGCCTGTGGGCGGACTTGGGGCCCTATCCCAACTTGAATAGAGAGAAGTATATGGGAGAAAGGCACCAAAAAAAGAAAGAAAGAAAGAAAAAGAAAGAAAGAAAGAAAGGAAGGAAGGAAGGAAGGAAGGAAGGAAGGAAGGAAGGAAGGAAAGAAAGAAAGAAAGAAAGAAAGAAAGAAAGAAAGAAAGAAAGAAAGAAAGAATGAAAGAAAGAGAGAAAGAGGAAAAAAAGTCACTTCTTTTGCATTTCCATTTGGGACAAAAAGAAATTGACAGCAGCAACAGAATATATTTTCCTTCAGGCTGACTATATGCTCTCATTAGGCATAGAAGCCAGAGCTTATTTATAGAATTGCACTGTAGCCTTGCTGTGTCTGGACAGCAAGTCCAACCAATTCTCATCAAGCAGGTTGTTCAAGCTCCTATTACAATGAATTCTCATAAAATTAGTCTCTGAGCATAGAACTCTGGGAATGTGAAGAGCCGTATTGATCCAGAGGGATGGCAGAGACGGGGCTCAGCTGACTTTGCTGCAGATTCCTTGCCCCGTCCTCCTTCCTCCACCTGTCTCTCCCTCTTCCCTTCTTCCTCCATCCCTTCGGATGCCCACTGGGATGACTTGGTACTATTGCCTAACCACATAATTGCTTTGGTCCTCATTTTTCCCATTTACAGTAGGGCAATGTCTACTTAGCAGTTACAATGAGGCCTATATGAAAGAGCATATATGAATGTTCTTGCACAGAAGAAACACTTGATAATTACTTGGTAGAAATATAAAGGAGGAAGAAAGAAGGTGGTGGCTTAAATGCTACCAGGTACCTGGAAAGATAAATCACTCACTGAAAGGTTTATTGGGTAGCATATGAGGAGCGTGAGTCAGAGCAAACTAATGAAGGAGTGTGATGTTGGAAGGGCAGTCTGTCACTGCTGCTGCTGCTGACGTTATTTGAAAGAGATATAAGACTAAATCTCTAGTCTGTGGTAATTAGTGGAGCTCCCTAGGCACTTTATGAAGCTGGGATAGTAACCTACATGTCCCGCTGGAGACGGATTTCAGTTTGTATAATTACATCCTGATAGCAGGCCCCGGCTGCTTGGTTTTTACAGAAAGATAATATTTTCTCTATTGTACTTTCTGTAATTAGCATTTCACATAGGTGAGTGAGGCAATGGTGACAATATCCATCCTGATCTTATTCTCTTTGTTAGGGCAGATTGGCAAATTCCTGGGCAGGCTGTAACATTAAGAAAGTCTTGAGGATTAAAATTAAGCCTGAAAATTAAAAGGCGTCCTGGAAGTATTTTTTATAATGCTTCCTGACATGGTCTTCATAGCAATGAGAAATATGAGGCCATGGGTCCTAAAAGTAAAAGATGGTGCCATTCTGATTGTCACCATCTGGTACAGCCTGACCTGCATCCTCTTCTCATTCATGTTGAAGCCCTGACCCCTAATGAGACTGTCGTGGAGACAGGATTTTTAAAGAGGTAATTAAAGTTCAATGAGATCATGAGGGTGGGGAACTGATAGGACTTCGCCAGAGAAGATGAGGTACAGGCAGCAGAGATCTCTCTTTCCATGTGCATGTACAGAGCAAAGGCCATGTGAGGGCTCAGTGACGAGGAGGCTGTCTCCAAGCCAGGAGGAGGGGCCTGACCCCAGCCAACCTGCCGGCACCTCGGTCTGCCTAAAACCAGTTGGCACCCAAGTGCTCTGGACATGGTGCAGTGGGCTGATTGGTTTGAGCCTCCACTCTCCAGGGCTCATCTTGAAGCTCCCGGCTGAGATTCCCCCATGGAACACGAAAGAAGAAGGCATCTCTCAGCGAGTTCTGTCATGTGTGTGTGTCTACATTTGGTTTTCATTAGTCACAGTGATCATGAAGGGCCCTGCAGCTTAGTCCATGTGTCTTAGTGGCGCTATTAGTTTCCCAGTGCTGCTGTCACAAATCACCACATCCCCAGTGGCTTAAAACAATGCAGATTTATTCTCTATAACTCTGGAGGTCAGGAGTCCAAAATCAGCCCGACTGGGCTAAAGTCAAGATGTTGGCAGGGTGGTTTGTTCTGGAAGCTCCTAGGGGGAGAGTCTGTTTCCTTGCCTTTTTCAGCTCAGCAGCTGCCTATATTCATCGGTTTGCGGTTGCTTCCTCCAGCGTCGAAGCACATCACTCCAGTCTCTGCTTCCATCACCATGTCTCCTCCTCTGACTCTGACCCCTCTCGTGTCCCTCTTATAATGCTCACCACGATGACACTGGGCCCACCTGGATAATCCAGGATACTCTGCCCACCTCAATAATTGGATCGTATCTGCAGTTCCTTTTGCCACATAAAGTACTATTCACCAGTCATGGGGATTAGGACATGGACATGTGGCATTGTTCAGCCTATCTCACGGCTCGTCCCTACCTCCCACACTCCCAGGCACAGACTGTTTATGGAGACCATCCCCATTTGCAGCTTCCAGTGGGCTCATTGTTATTGGACCGAGGCTTTTTTGAACAACCAGGTCTCACACTACCTCCTCCAGGAAAACTTTCCTCATTTCTCCAACCCACTCTGACTTTTCATATTACTTAAAATATAAAATCCATTATTTGGCCCTTATATGTTACACAGAAGTCAATTCTACTTTGCTCACATGTATTTGTCTTGTTTCTCAAACTAAAGTATAAGTTTCCGATATAAATTTTGTGTATTTTCCTCTCCATTCCCCTGAAATAATTTATTTGGCTTCCAGGTCAGCTTCTCCTTAGCTGGACTCACAGATGCCCACAGGTTGTATGTCATTCCCCAATTAAATGTCCAAGCCCATCAGCGTCCTTGCCTGCTTGTTCCCCAATTCCACTCTTGATCTTGGTTTGGGTCAGGCTCCTG